ATGTCCTTTCCTGACAGAGCTGGCAGAGATTGGGACAGCATACAAATGAGTGTGGGTACAGGCAAATTCCAGAGGCCCTGAGAGTACCATGTGGGGACAGAAGTAGTCTGAAGCTCACCTGGTCTTTACAAGAGGCCTTCAGTTGAACCACCTACTGTGCACTACAATTGTCCTAGCCTCTGCCATCAGATGGGCAAACACCCTGAGAACATCTACCTGCCAGGCCCTGGGGAAATGTCAGGGTGGAGGAGGCAGAAATGAGGCAGTCTGGCTCCATCCTTGCTTCAGTACTTACTGCCTGTGTGACCCCCATGAGAGACCTCCCCCAGCCTCACTTTACGCAGGTGTGAAAGAGGAATGTTCATCTCTCTAGGCATAGGGTTAGGCCTGGGTGGGAGTCAGTGAGCAGGCAGTGCCTAGCTACCCTCGTGGCCACCCCTTATGGGTAATGCCCTACTTCAGCCCCAGTTGCCAGGGAACCACTGGGTCTCTGGCTAACCTGGATTTCTCTATTGATGGGCAGCCTTTTTCTTCCTGTCTGGTGCAGCCACTGCTGAGGAAGGCCGGTGTCCAGCTGTGTTTCCAGGCAGCCCTCCTTCTGGACACTGGAGGGAGGTCCGAAGGGCCTCAGAGCTGAGGGCTGGGCAGTAGTACTTGCCTTCACAGTGCCCTCTTGCCCCTTACTTGGCAGGCAGTCCTGTGTACCAGCTGAGATGCAAATCCTTCCTTGCCTCTCCCCACTCTGCTTAACCCTTCAAGCTCCTGTAGCTCCTGGGGAACAATACAAGCTTCCCAGCTTGCAGCTGAGGTTTGGCATGACCTGGGCACTACCCACCAGTCTCCCCAGACTCCTCTCCTCTCCTTTTCGGCATCTCTCTCAGCCCTAGAGACTTAGCATGGTTGATCTGACACCTCTTATGTACCTGGCTCTGCACCAAACACTGTACATCAGTACAAAAGAGAATATTGAGCCAGATGTGGTGCACACCTATAATTCCAGTGCCCTGGAAAGCTGAGGCAGGAGGGTCACAAGCTTGAGCCCAGCCTGGGCAACTTAGCAAGACCCTGTTTCAAAAAAAAGGGTTTTTTTTAAGCTTTTTTAAAGGTCTGTAGCTCAGTGCAGAGGCTCTGGATTCAATCCCCAGCACTGCCATATATAAAAAACAAATCTCACTTGAAGAATAGTGAATACTTACTGAGATCTTATTGTGCCAATCCTCTTTTGAGAAATTAATACGAATGCTCTCCTTTTACCCTCCCCATTGCCCTCTGCAGGGTGCTGCACAGCCACAGCCAGCAAAGAGCAGAGCAGGGAGGCTTATGCCCCATCATTTGTCCCCAAGTTAGCTTAGAGCCCTAGACTCAGATTCAAACTCAGCCCTTACTAAGCCCAGCTTCTGGGCTCCTTCAGCAGCCTGCTCTCTCGTCCTCCCTACCCTGGCATAGCTGGCTTGTCTCCTGAAGATACTTTTTCTGCTTCCTACCCCCAAGGCAGCACATACTCGTGGCAGGGAGGGGGATGGGTAAAACAGGGTATTTAATGCTGATGGGGAGGTGTTGTTTGCGGGAGGCTTCCTGGAGGAAGTGACTTTGAGCTGAGCCCCACAGGAAGAGTAGGTGGTGGCCAAGTGAGGGGAGGGGTTTCTGAGCAGAGGAAACAGCAGGTGGCATGCTCAGAAAGAAGCTGAAGTGGCTGGTGAGGGCCGGCAGGGCGCATCAGGGTGACTGACATTCTGAGGGTGGTGGGAGTTGGCCCAGGGCCCTGTCTGGGTGTTAAGACACCTAGGCTGCAGACTAGGGTGCTGTGGAAGCCAGGAAGAGAGTGAGTGGACAGGAGGGATGGGTAGGGCCCTGGGAGATCATGGTGAGTGTACTGGAGGGGAGGGGACATGGCAGGGGCCTAAATCACCCCTGAGGCTTCAGTTCTGAGAAAGGGGAAGCTGCCTGAGGCCTGTGAGGGTGGTGCAGCTTCCTCTTGTAAAAGCCCTTGGGGCTGCTTTTCTAGGCTCCTCTGTGTCCAGGCTCCAACTGCAGCTTGGGGGCTAGTTGGTTTTTACCCAGGGAATTTCTGGTTCTAATTGTTTGGGCACTTTTTCAGAGGGCTGAGTCTAAGGAAGCCCTCCTTGACATTTTGGTCTGGTCCAGTCTGTTTGGTGGAAGCTTCCTGCTCAAGGCCGGGCCAGGTGCCGAGCTTTGTGGTGAATAAAGCAGACATCCCTGCCCTTCCTGCTGTCTGGTGGGGAAGCAAGCAATAAACAAGTAAGCAGACAAATACTTAATTACAAACCTGCAGCCCAGGAGAAAGGGCTGCTGGGGAGGAACCCTGTGACCTACTTTGTGCCCATTACCCCATTTAAGCCCCATGACCCAGCCTTGCTGAGGAAGATAAACATCCCCATCTTGCAGATGAGGAAACTGAGCCCCAGGGAATGAGGCCTTCAGATCCCATAGGGAGTTGGGGGGAATAGGCAGGGCTAAGAGACTTGAGGGAGGAGTAGCCTCTGAGCTGACTTCTTACTTGGGTAGAATCCTTGGGCCCACTTTTCCCAGCAGTGTGGCTGGAGCAGGAGAGCTTTCTTCTCCTTCTGTCAAGACCTCAGTCTGGCCAGGTGCATCGGCTCGAGGTACCATTCTCCACCATCTGAGCCTCAGTCTCCCCATCTCTGACAGCTGTCCTTCAGAGAGCCCTCAGGAGATGCTGGGCTTTGGGTCCTCACTGACTGCCTGGCCTTGTGGACAAGGCTGCAGTGAGATTGGGACTTCTGGCCCTTGGGCTTCTCTCTGAACGTGCTTTGCAGTCCCCCTCCAAGGCTGTGGCTTAGACACTAGAGGCCTGGGGCAGGGGTCTGAGCAGCGGGTGTGTGCACTTGTGCAATGGACTCTGTTGCCTGACTGGGCAGGTCCAGTGGGGGCTGAGTCTGGGTGAGTGTGGGGGCCGGGGCAGCCAGACTGGAGTAAGTGCCTGTTTGGGGTAATTAGAAGGCGCATAATTAGAAGGCGCAAGGCGCTGGGCGGAGAATGTCTGTGAATGTGCCCGAGTGGGCCTCTCTGGCTAAGTCTGGGCCTCTGGACCCTTACTTTCCTCCTGGAAGTCTCCAGATCGAACTGCTCCATGCCTGTCTGCAGATGAGCAGCTGGACAGCCCCTCCTTTTGGGTTCAGGTCACCCAGCAGGTGCCACTCAGGGTCAGGGGTGTTTCTGGGACTCTCTGTGTGGTTCTGCCTCTTTTTACCTGCTGCCCTGGGGCTGGTGGCAGGCTGTGGGGACAGCCCGAGGACTTGGGGCCGTGGTCAGGTCTGTGGCTTAGAGCCTTTGAAGGACTGGGGTTGAGTCATGGGGACATGGGCTTGTAGGGGGCGGCTGAGCAGGGGAATGACATTGTGGGGCAGAACCTGGAAAGAAGACTTGTGATTGAATTTGAGGAGGGACAGATTGGGGATGAGTCAGAGTATCAGCTGTTGAGCGTTGACTGCCAGATGTGGCCTTCACTTACTCTCCTGGCCTTCCCTGTGGCCGGTTTTCCCCTTGGCCAGCCTGGGCTGGAGAGTGGCTGGCTGCCAGTGACCTGGAGAGTCCTGAGGATGATGTGACTGCTGCCCACCCCCCCTCCCCTGGGTGTAACTCAAGACTGGGCCAGGCCTAGGTCAGGCGGGCAGATCGGTTTCCTTCGCTCCTTTTTCAGGCGGGACCCCCGGCTGCCGGAAGGGAAAGGGGCTCTCATGTGACCTGGAACCTGCTGCAGGCAGCCAGTCTCCCACTGGGCTTAGAATCACACAGGCCAGGGGCCTGGGTCAGTGTCTGGATTTTATGAGGCCCGTGGGCAACCCTTGAGTTTCAGAGGTAGCCTGTGCTGAGGCCTCACATGCATAAGCTCTGCTTCAGTCACACCTCCCTGGTGACCCTGAAACCCAGCCTCTGGCAAATACATCCAGGAACTTCCTCATTCTTCCTCAGTCCCTTCTGTTATCTAATCTGAATCCGTCTTCCTCTTGTCCCCCCTTGTCCATTGGCTGGAGACCTATCTGGAAGCAGCCATGATCTTGGGCTAGGATCAATCACTGAAGTTTCTCTGAAATATCAGGCACACATCTTATCCTCACCCTGCTTTACTTTGTTTCTTAGTGCTTCCTCTCTCTCTCTCTCTCTCTCTCTCTCTCTCTCTCTCTCTCTCTCTCTCTCT